GATAGCACAAAAAGGGGGATCAGGGATGACTCACCTCGCCCCTCGAATTCGAGATCTCAGCCAGAGATTTCTTCAGCTGCTCCACCTCCCTACCCAGCTCTTCAATCTCTTGCACCTCATCATCCGATAAGGTCTTCACCATCGCAGTACCCAACTCCGCCTTGAGGGCCTCTCTTCTGGCCTTTAAGCCGCTCGCCTCCGCGTCCATCTCCCCTAGATTCGCTTCGAGCCTCTGGATCCGATCGTTCAACGCCTCTTGTTCGCGATGCAATATCGTCGACTCATTCGCTAACGGGTCCCTTGACGCCTGCGCTTGATCCCGCCTTGCACTCAACACCTGAAGCTCGCCCAGCACCTTGGTGATCTTCTGCTCCATCTGCAGGAGCGTCGCCTTCACCTCGGCCCATCGCCTCTGATCTTCCTCGAGTTTGCCGCTCCAATGCTTGACGGACTTGATCGCGTCCAGCCTAGACTTGTTCGACTGGTATCCACCCGTCAACGCGCCTTTCCTGTCCACCTTGTCGCCCTGCACCGTCACAGCGCTCAGATTATGACTTCGAGAGTACGCCGCGCCGACGCTGAGGTCCTCACACACACAAGTCTTGCCGAATACCTGTTCGAACGCTTTCTCATGCGTCTCGCTATACCTGATCTCTTTCATCAACGGGACCACGTCGTCTGCGTCCGGGTACTGCATAGGCTTGGGCTTGATTCGATTCAGAGGGATGAAGGTGAGACGACCGGTTCGCTCCCGGGTCATGAGGTCCACGAGTTTGGTGGCGGTGGCGTCGGTATCCACCACCACATGGAAGAGACTGTTCCCGGCTGTTACTTCCACTGCTGTCTTATATTTGGCCTTCGGTACCTCGAAGAGCTTAAAGAGTGGCCCAGAGACGTTGTCTTCAAGCCCTAGGCGCTTGACAGCATTGTCGAGGGCACGTAGACCACTTCCCGTGTCCTAGAAGAAACGTGTCAGCACCGAGGTTTTCCGACGTGACCCCGTCATCCTACCTTGTCCATCATACCGGCCAATGTCCGTTCAGCGGTTCGCAACTCTTCTCTCGCATGACTAACAGTGGAATCAAGCTTAGCATCTTCTCTCCACAAGTCTCTGTCGATAATCGCATCAGCATCCGTCCCATCTCTACGCCGATACCGTTGCTCACTTTCGACTCTCAACCAGCTTACTGTTCTCCTCTCTCAGACCGTTTAGTTGCTCCCCGATTGCCCGTAATCGTTCTCTCCGGTCATCCAAGTTCTGGATTACCTCCTCACCCTTCCGTTCAATTTCCTGCAGACGGTTCTGAAGACCGGTCAACTCCGCTCGAGTCTCGTCGGTGTTCAGGCGCTGGGACCTCTCGTAGGATTCAATGCTGGCGATTTCTTTCTTCAAGAACTTGTCACGTTCTGCCTTGGAGGTGTAACGCGCCACTCGGCCCTGCTTCAGCCCTAGAGCTTCGAGCCGGGCCTGCACCTCGTCGAGTCTAAGATCACGAAAGGATACAGGTCAGTTCGCATACGGAGATGCATGGTCGATATTGATGGTAGGTCACCTTCGCTTCTCCTCCTTCTCCTCCCTGACGCGATCATGCAGATCTGGCGTCAGCTCCATCAATTCAGCCTCCTTCTGCGTGATTTTGCGGAGAATTTCATGGAGGTCTGCGTCTAGCTCCTCCTTTCGCTCTTCTCCCCGCTCTCCAGCTTGCTGCAAGTCGGCGACGGTACACTCTAGCTCTGTGCGGGACCGAATGAGCTCGTTCATCTCGTCGTCATAGCCTTGCTTTGATAGCTTGGCGATGGAAAGCTGCTGCTTCATCTCCTTGATATCTTGTTCGAGTTTCTGGAATGATCGGGAGTCAAAGGGTCAAGAAACAGGTGTGGATGCATTTCGACGGAACAGACCTCGATCTGCTTTTCTCGATCATTGAATTCGTTACGACGTTGCATAGCGGTGATATCTTCCTGTTTCCGCTCGTCTTCCATCTAATAACCAACTATGATCAGTGTCGTAGTTGTAGAGCAGAGACGAAATCATGTCACCTCATCCATGGCTTCGACAATCTCCGTCAGCTCTGCCTGGTACAGACTGTATTCCAGACACCGCCTCTCCTTGTCCTTCTCTTGAAACTCCTTCAACTCTTCCTTCTCCGACTCCAGCTCTTCGAGACGTTCTTGAATATATGCTATAACCTCGGCAATCTTGGCTTGCTTTGCCTCTATAAATCGTGAATAGTCAGCCAGTTCAAGACGTTAAAGGCAATGCTGATCGGACGACGTACTAGTTTCTTCCATCACTTTCAAACTCTCCGTTCGCCGTTGTTCATACACTTTAGTTCCGGCTACCTCTTTGAGCAATGCAAGCCGTTCATAATCCTTCGCGTTCGTCAAACTTGTTATCTATTCCATATATCGGACAGCACGTCAGCGGAGTCTTGGAAGGGAAAGGACCACGACCAGAAGTCATCCAACTTACGCGACCTTGAGGCACGATATAGTATGGGTTGCTTTTACTGAAACCTGCGCTTTCGAGTAGGTTCATCACGTCCGCTTTCTGAACGCTCTTCTTGTCCAAGCTATACTCGTCTTTCTTGAGACCAATTGTCCTTCGGAGCACGACCTCCTCTTTCCCAGTGGGGAATCGACTATCCGAGTTGTCGAAGATGATCTCGACGAAAGCGCTAAGTGTGGTGGTGACTGAAACACCCTCGTGAAGGAGCGACTGTCGTTCCTCACGCGACATAGCAGTATAGGCATCGGAGAGAACGAATCGAATGGCTTTGAGACGATTAAGACGTTGAGCAAGACACGCGACTTCGGGGAGCTGATGCTTACCAGCGAAGAAGTTGCTCTTCCCACTCCCATTCCTTCCAACTACGACATTGTGCCCGGGGCTACGGAATGGTCCAAGACGGTAAGGATATGAGTTCACGAAAGCGCGTCTGTCTTGCCGACCTGAAAGGTTCAATGGCCGTCTATTCGCGAGCATGAGCTCTCCATTGAGGACTTCATATACGTGCTTCAAGCTCACCTGATCCCGGTAGGACTTGAATCCTTGAATCGTCAGCGTTTTAATATGCATATTCGATGTCACCGAGATAGTCTAGAATGGAACGGAACGGAGACAATGTAAGGGACGTCGTTCCTGGTATGCGTTACCGTCACGATGTCAGGTCTTTCCTCGACTTTTGCACTTACACTTGTAATCCCTATGTCACTATATTTCTGTAGACTGCTAAACTCAGCGTTTATCCTCCGAATGAATTCTTGTGCAGCTTTACCACACGCCATCTGAGAACATTGCCCACCGTTGGGGAATGTGCCACATCGTCCATCCCCACTATGATCACTTGCTTGAATTCGTCATATCCCTTAAGGCTTCCAAGAACAATGGAGAATGTTTTCACACTCAGATATCACGCTTCCTTCCCTCGGCTCGAGTTTCATCAGCCCTGCAAGTGTCGTGTCGCCTTGAACTGAGGCTATGGATACGCTTTATTAGTGCCGCAAAGGTTATGAATATGTATGTAGTAATATATACATTTTCTTTACATGTGATATCTAGTTCATATCTCGGAAGCTCTTACTTTAGCAAAATGCAGCTGGCCAATACGTGGGGGAGCTGTGTGGTGCCATAATCGTAGACTTCAAACGATATCAATTGGACGACATGATGGGATGATTTTATATCAGGATTAGAACTCTAGCGACAGCTACGTTGCAAGTGGCTTGCTACGGTTCACTGCTCGGTGTCGGACCCATGTTCCCATCCATCCAAACATACTTCATGAAGATCGATACGCCATCCACCCCTCAATTGCTTCCTGCACTTCATCTCTGCTTCTCCTTCCTCCCCGCACCTTTCCTTGCCTCCCCGACCCCAATCCCAAGCAAGAACGCAACCCTCGTGGTCGCGCCCAGGTAGACAAACGGCACGTTACCCCAATCCATAGCGTTGTAATTCGTAATATCGTAGTACACGCTCCACCCCAGCGGCCCAACAGTAGCCAGATGCCCAAAGTCTGCGATGAGCATAGGGAGGAGCAAAGCTCGCCAAACGGCCACGTCAGAGGTGGATCTCAGGACCAGAGCCTCGACCATGGCGAAGAAGAGGTAAAGGTTACCAAGTTGGTTGAGGACGATGCTGGTGGACATGGGAATTGCGAGGGATGTGGAGGGTGAGTGGGTCATGGAGAGGTACTCGTACTGCTGGAAGATAGCATAGAATGCGCCAACAAGGGCGGAGACCGGTTCGATATACATCAGGAAGATGGTGTACCACCAGTGCACATTTGGAGACGCCATGGTGAAGGTATATTGTGAAGTGAAAGAACTCGGTGGTGCTTTGCAGGAGAGAGTTACTTTTCTTTCTTTCTTTTTTGTGTGAGAACGGGTGGGAGCTGGCTACTGAGCGAGCGGTCACTGGTCGTCAAGACCGTGCAGGAGAGAGTTGCTGCGTAGAGACGGCGACTAGACAGTGACCTATGTTATGAACAACCTCTATCACCTCCCACACTTCCATTCCACCTCATCTTTTGCTTCTGATGGGGCGTGTGGCCTGCGGTGCTTGCGTCGTCTCCTTCTGGGCCGCTAAGCGTAACGCGTGCCAGGCTCCCAAACAGATGCGCTGTTCCTCGGCTTAAGCTTGTGATGCCTTCAACCAACGACCGCCACGCCCTGGAACTGAGACTATCAACCCTTCTTATTAAAGCACTAGGTGGAATTCTATGGCTATAGCTGTGCGTCCGGCCATTAAACTTGACAGGATCCATCGCATCTCTGCCCTTGCAATTCAGCAACCCTTCCCCACCTCTTTTCAATACCGCAATAGCCGCCTTCTTTAGTCAGTCTGCAACGGGGGAAGCTTGAAAATACCACATTAGAGAAGGGGGTCACTCGAAAGTTCACAAGTTTCTTCAACGAAAATCCTAAAATCCTGTCTTCCGACTCCGGAATTGGTCTCACCCCCCAAAAGGGATCGATGTCAAAAGAATATTTCCTTTAGCCTAACGTGGGGGTCGAACCCACAACCTTCAGATGCCATGAAGACGTTCTGTAAGAGTCTGACGCTCTACCGATTGAGCTAGCCAGGCAGATGAACTACTTGCGACCCTGTCTTATCATACTTTAGTTTTTTCTGCGCGACCTCATACAACCTAGGCCGTGGTGACATGTGGGGAATATTCAGTCTTCAAAGGGGGGGGAAGCTGAGATGGGATTTTTACAGGGACGGTTGTGTTGGGCTTCGTCTCGAAGCGAACGTAATCCTTAGCAATCATGATCCTGGCATTCCTTGACTGCGCTATCACCAACCACATGGAGTTCCGCTTTATCAAATGAATTGGCCACATCCAGGTTCTGCTTGAATACCAATTACCTCGCCTTTGGCACCCATCCATGACGGACAACACCTTCCTACTCCTGCTCGCTCCTATATCGACGTCTATACCGCACGAAAAACACTCACGCCTTTTCGCTGCTAGGTTCTCAAATCGAACCTCCCTCCGGGAAAGGGGGTACCAGCCACCAAGAATTATACATCTACAACCATGGCTCACGCTCTGCGTGTGAGCCACACCAACATGCTGAATTTCTACGGGCCTATGAATATCCTGGATGATTTACGTCTCCTACCTCTAGGGCGGAAGGCGGCGATCAATCAAGTTTATCCCAGCCACACGCTGTGTAGTACCCCGGCCTTTCCAGAAGATCACATCCAACTTGCATGAGAGTTTGATGACTACAAGACAGTGAGCGGCAGTTGTATCACCCTGAGACTCTGGCTGCGAGTGGCACTTTCCTCATCGCGAATATCATGGTCGTCTGGATCAACTCAAGCGCTGTTTTCCCGCACTCCTACAGAAGAGGGCCAACATTCCGCTCGGCCATAAAGTGGTTTCGGTCGTCGCGACATTGAAATATCCACAATGTGGACTGCATCGCCGCTAGTTCGACTGCTGTGAAGGGCTCTGCGCATGTCGTGTCAATGGACCCGATCGAGTAGTGAGTTCGACCCCCACGTCAAGTTCCATACGTAAGAGCCTGGGGCTCAATCTATTGGGCTCTCGAGCTGCTAGGTATTGGTCGCTCAGTTACCATTAATAGGATTTTGCTGTGGGTGGTCCCTGCTGTCGCTAGTCCCCCAAAGCGCAACCTTGACCCAGATGATGTAATGAGCTTTGTTTCCTTACATCACTCGCGTCAGGATTATGCACGAACCCGTGACCCTCTAAACTTTGAGCCTGATATTGAGTTGACACTATGACCCAGTCTAATTCGGCGAGTAAGCATGGCTGGACTCGTGGCATTGGCAGTCGAAGCGAAGCCTCCGATGCTCGCAGTTATGATGGGCAGGTCAATACGAGCAAGTAAAGTGGCGCAGCTAGCGGATAGGAACAACGGCGCGATGGCCGAGATGGCCGCAAGCGGTGAACATCAGCAGCTTGGTCCGATCCGAGTTGAGCGGCACAATCTCCTGATCAAACCGACCACGTAAATAACGGGTAAGTCTCATACATCGATTGGTGTGCTTGATAAACATCTCAGGCTAGCCATTTTCA